TACGCTGAGTATTACCATTCATTATAGCAGTTATGTCAATCTTTTATGCACTCGTGGGATTAACTTAGTGCTAGGGCATTGAATATCGAACAATACGTCAATTTCAATGATTTTGGGTTTTTTTGAGACACCCTGTATATTGCATTGTATCGTACCGTAATTTATTTTATTGTACTGCGTTGCATTGTATTGACTATTGTACTGTAGTGTACTTATTACTAAATCTGTTGTATTGCATTGTATTGTATTCTTAAATTAACTTTATTATATAAAGTATAGTGCTTTATAGAGATTTCGAGCACTGATAAAAGTGATAATCTCACATGTGAGATTATTTATGATAATCTCACATGTGAAAATTATCGCTTTTCAATTTTCGCTTTTCTGTAAAAATTATCGCTTTTCAAAGACTATACTTTATATATAGAGAGTAATACATGGTGCGCAGAAATACCAGATTTATTTCGAGTGCTGAACATGATATCTCACGAGTGAGCGCAGCGAACGAGATATCAAGTTCAACACGAGAAATAAATCTGGTATTTCTGCGCACCCATGTATTATTCTCTATTTAATTACCAACTCACAATAATTGGTGTATACTGTTGTGGTCACCCTGCCACTCGTATGTCTTATAATAAGAGCGAAGTTTAATAAATAAATAAATTAAATAAATAAATTATTCAGAGAGAAATATCCCGATATCAAAAAATGCCGTATAGGGAATTCCCCTAAACAGCATGAAAGCGCGTGACTATTTGCAGTATTTCCTCAGTTCTGTATCATGTAAAAATGTTTAAAACCTATGTATAAACGACAAGATGTTTCTGAAAAATGGAACCGTGTGAAATTTAAACGGTAAGTTTACTTTTAACAGTATTCCTTCTTACATAACTAGTAATAATAAGCTCAGTGACAACTAGATTGTCAGTCACAGTTAATCAATTTGTTTATCCAGCTGATGTATTATTAAAAGTTGTAAGTGTGACGATCCTTTCGAATATTTCGGTTTATTATTCTGTTTTATACGGTAAAAGTAATAAACCGAAATTGCCACATCCCGTCACCCCAAATACTGACAAAAATAGGTGAACTTCAAAGCTTTGATCGAGGGAGTCAGTTGGAATCCAAAACGAAATTTCTTGCTCAGTTCAGTCAGTTGCTCTGCTGAGGCTTGCACGCAAATAAAAACGTATGTATATTGACATAAACTCATAATACATAAAGGTATAGTGTCCTTAGGTACAGGTAATCCCCCAAAATGAGATTCGTTATCACAGTCAATGAGTTTGCAAGTTGTATGCAACTGGCCGCGGTTGATTTGTTACTGAACTCATTCCACATCGACAAGAACGAGGTCTTGTCTTTTGGCGAGCATCGATCGCGAGATGAGTATTACTGTCATTACTAGAATCGAGTAACATTGATAAAGATGACTCCGGTTGGGTAAAATACTTCTTAGCCAAGAAATATGGCAAGTAAAAATATCTGAAATATAGTATCTTGATGGGTAAAAAGTTCGGATGAGGACCTGTTCCCGAATCCCGATAAAGGGCATGTTGTAAAACCTGGACTGGACTGGACTTGTAAAACCTGGACTGGACTCATTTGTAAAACATGGACTGAACTCATTTGTAAAACATGGACTCACAAGTACAATTAAGAAAAGATTAAGTTGACTTTGACTTTAAGAAGTTTTATAATGGTAAAATTAATGGGTGAACCACATTGACTTGCAGAAATATTATTATAAAATATAATTATTCCTTAGATACTATAGCTACAGAATATATCATTCTAGATAAATTGTACAGTAGTGTGTTGCAGTGGTCATCCTAAGAAAAATTTAGAACTGCCCATTTCATAGCAGCTGCTTCCAGATGCAGTGTGTGTTGTGGGCATAAGCCTTCTAGGGGTGCAGGGGATAGCTCTCCCCCCTGAAAAATTGAGGTCTCTCAAATGGCATTTCCAGCATTCCGAGAACATATTTTGAGAAAAATGTTAGGTTTACAAAAGATTATAATGGTGCATTTTTATATAGTATATAAAGCCCCGTTTACACTACGCTCAATTTTTGGTATGGCACGGATAAAATTGGTACCCGTACCACTTTTATGGTTCTTGGACTACCTATTTAGGTAATCCAAGAACCGACAAGAAAATATTTCTTTAAAAAAGAAATAATGTTTCGTTCCAATATAATTATAGAAATACCAGACGTCTATAATTAGCGGTTGTGACCATAGATCACTTGTATATGTCGAGCAATGAAGTTGGTTCATTTTGTGAGGCGGGCGGGTTCTATAAATTTTCATTACCTGGAGGGGCCGAGCGGTCCAGAAATACAGTAGTAGTATTTAAAATGAAGAAAAACAAAGAAAACTATGTAATAAATATATATATATACCACTGTTGGCGCTTGAATACTTCAAATATCGTGCCTGTAGATTTTACCTGAAGTTCAGGCCCTAAGATTTTGATTGGTTGCAAGTTCACATAAACAACAGTTTTAAAAATAGCTCGGTCAAGGGCTCAAGGGGACAATAATAATATAAAGGTCAAACGCACGTAACAAATCCATTATCGATTTCTTCGAATTTCTTTTCTTTTATGCTTTATGGCAGAAAATAAATCAAACAAATAGTATTTTGAAGGTCTTTATCAAAATCTTTGACGAATTTTGGACACACGACGCTGAAAGAACAGCCAAACTAAACTAGTCATCTATTCGAAAGTTTGTTACTAGTTTAGTTTGGCTATTCTTTCAGCGTCGTGTGTCCAAAATTCGTCAAAGATTTGATAAAGACCTTCAAAATACAGTTTGCCAACTGGCTTCGCCGGCAAAAGTCTTATTTTTAATATCAGGTCCTACCGGCGTTGTTTTCTGAGCTACATCGCCTTCTTCGTGGTACGATTGAGAATTTTATTGTTGCTGTTGTTAGCCCGTTAAAGTATATCCCTGGTATATATCCGCGTCCAGCAAGTTGAGACCTTGAGAAAGCTTGGCAGTCAAGCTGTACACAGAACTGACTAATTGAATCTTTGTTTGCTGTTCGGTTAAATAGAGAAACTGACTCTTAATTATATAAAAGTACCTTGAATTTTTAAGATTAATTAAAAAGCAAAATGCACACTCTGCGGACATGTTCATGAGAATATAAATTTTTTGTGTAACGAAATCTACAGTATAACACTTGTCAATCATATTGCATGCTGTGTCTAAAAATAACATGTGAGCGTCCCACGGTCCAGACAGGTTTTGTGTCAGGCCCTATTTAAAATTAGGGCCTGAACTTCTGGTTAAGTTAGCATGTTCTCATAGGTTGATATATAATTAACTAAGATTTCCGATTATACGCCACGCCTCCAAAAAACTTCTGATGCTAGGAGCGGTCATCTCATTGGACGATTCTAAATGTAATTGACGTTTGAGCAAGAATACTGGCAAAGGATTGGATAACTTTGATCTCTGACGTCACTTTCCTGTGATAATTGCTCGAAACCAAATACAGTACCGTTTCGTTCCTGCGGGGAACGAAACAAAAAGTGGTACGGTACCAAAAATTGAGCGTAGTGTAAACGGGGCTTAGCTTTGTATTTTTCTTGTTTGCTTCTCCTTTGCTGGTGACGACGTAACCAAATCAGATGAAGGACACGCTTGATCAGAGCCGCTGCCGTTTTGAAATAAGCGCGAAATTGAGTAATTTGTGAGACCGGAACGATCATTCCACTTGTCCTTTTACTGGAAATCGCTTCCTTAATCGGACCGGATCAGAGAAACCTCCGATTCGATCCGCTGCTTATTATCCGGAGTGGAAAACTTAAGGGAAACTAGGAAATTTCCCAATATATATGGCACTGCTTGAGCGGGCAAAACCAAATATACAATAAAATTATGTCCTCTGGACGGCTGTTTTTGGTGGATTTCTCGTTGTATGTCAGTTATTAACAAAATAACGTGTGGAAAATTAAAAACCTCCCGAATGAATGCATGTAAAAGATATGATGGGGATGAAAACTTGAACATGGGGCAAATTCTCATATAGGGAATTCCCCCAATAACTTCAGGAGACCAGAAGCAGGAAAAGCTGGAGCTAAATATGCAAATTATTAATTTTTCATTGCCGGCTAATTTTTGTGGACTATATTTTCAGGTCTTATTGCATTCATTTTACTTATATATTAATTCCAAAGTAATGTATCTTAAAAGTAGACCATTAATGAGCAATGTCAATGTCAATGATATCAAACCGCAATTATTGAATGAGGTCGAGTAGAATATGAGGAATTATTTTGGCCGAGGTTTGTGTTATCTGCCGAAACTGAAGGCTGAGGCAGATAGAATAGATTGTATCTTCGATAGGCTCTTATTTATCTGCTACTCTATCTTTTCTATAGGGATTAGACGTTTTGTGATTCTGCAGAAACAGATAACTTTACAAACGACGATGTATTGACAGTATTGTTACTTTGATGAGACTTCACATGTCATATCCTTATGTAGATTTGAAAGCACTTCGGCTAATAATAGGTACAAAGAACAAAAATTAAATGAAATAATAATTGCTATCTGTGCCATGTTAAACAGTGATGGTGGAAATATTGTGTTACATAACGAGTGCGACTGCGAGAAATGCAAATCTTCTCAGATGTCCTTAGTGGTTCGAATGCTGGAACAATCTATGATCTCTATCATAGGATTGAATCAGACTGTTTCGAATATAAATTTCGAAGAAGATAAAGGAAGTATTGTCATTTCAGTTAAAAAATCTGTTTCTTTAATAACAACTAATTATAACCTTTATTTACCGAGTCAATCACAGGTTGTACAGGTATTGCCTTGGGAACCACTAGAAAACGTCAAGGATGATATCATCAACAGAAAAGTCATTCACGAACCAGTCCAGCTTGGCTCACATTGTACAATATTTGTTCAAGATACAAATTCTGGCTTACAGGAGAGCAAGATTGTTCAGTTAAAGTATCTAAAAGCAAGGAAGTCAAAATGTATCACGCTAGCAGATCGTATGACTGGTAAAGGAAATAAATTCAGTTGTTATGTTTCAGCGTTTGCCAACTGTAGCGGAGGTCACATTTATTATGGTATCACAGATGATGGAGTTGTTGAAGGCGAGTTGATTTCGAATGAGGACAAAGGTGAGATAACAAACAAGGTCGAGAAAGCCATCAACAAGATGATCTGGCCTGAGCAAATCGGTCAACCAAAACGAGGGGTACACTGGAAAATATTCTTCGAGCCAGTGGTAGATAAAAACGTCAGGCCTATCACATCAACATTTGTGATCGTAATCTATATCGCTCCTTGTTTGGGTGGTGTGTTCACTGAGGGGCCAGAATGCTATGAAATGGTTGATGGGAAAGTTGAGAAGATTTCGTTTACGTCTTGGCAAAAAAGAATATCACCACCATTTTCGTTGATTATCCGGGAAAAAATCCCTCATTCAGTTCAACGTATTGCTTGGAGCTCAGCTAACGCTCGAAAGGCTTTCATCGTTGGAGATGATAAATTAATGCAATTAATTAATGATGGAAATTGGAACGCTCTTTCGAAAGAGGTTACTAGAGTTCTTCAGAGTTCGTCTGAATTAAACGGTTTGAAGTTATTGGTTTTGTCCAAACAAGTCATTGCGTGTTACCGTAGATGTAGTTTCAATGAAGCACGTGATTTTCTCGAACAGTACAACGCCATTTTACCGCAAGCACAAGATCGTTTGATTTTCGAGGTGATGGGATTGTACTTACAAGCAGCTCTAAAGCGTACAAGTGGAGATTTTCAAGAGCTCCCAGGACTATTGACTGAAGCTTTGTCACTGGCAGATCTGATTGAACCAGGCCTGGTAACAGCAATAGTATATATTTTTGCTGGAACTGTGACGGACTTGATAAAGTCAGAAGATCAAACAAATGAATTAGGTTCACCTGATGTTCTTTCAATAAGAGCTCTGGAACATTTACGATGTGTCCCAGATTCTTCAGGAGTTCTGGTAGATATGGAGCAGAAGGCACATATAACTTTGGCCACTTTTTACCTTGGCTGTAACATAAATGGACTGCGTATCAAGGGTAATGTAGGCATTTCAGACATAGATAAAGCAAAGACAAATATAATGGCTGTGCATCAATCCGCTGATGAAGGACAGCCACTAAGTGGATATCGTGAAGTTCAGCTCAGTTTGGTACGGTCCATTAATAATTATCGACGTTCACAAGTCAGTCCTAACGAAAGGGTTCGCTTTTTGCGCAATGCCTTTAACTACGCCAAAAAAGCTGAATGTCTTGCAAGAGACTATCAGTTCACGGAAATGGTTGAATGGAGTAAGGCTACCGAAGCTTTATGCACGGAAGAATTAGTGCGCGCAAAACTCACCATTTAACCAAAATAGACTGTGTACGAGTTAAAACTGTGAGACTGGATTTGTAATTCAGCATAGTTCATCTGTATGTAGGAGTACTGTTCATATAAGCCAGTCTGTCCTATCAAACAGTAATAGTAATAGATTAATAGTAAAAACTTTATAAAAACGACGAGGGAAACGTACAGTATTAACTATATTAGAGAAGTTCAAATTTGACTTTCACCACCAATACCGCTACCATTAAGGGACTATTAACCAATCAGATGCGTTTCACATATCTGATTAATCAGTTGCAGACTAAAGCCTGTTTTCCACTTCGCCCGTATCGTACTGTAACGTATCGGTGAACATGCGCAGATTGAAAAGAGGTTTATAGACCACGTACTTCCGGGTGTATTCGTGTATCAAAATAAAAAGTAGGGCCTTCGCTCGAAACGTCGAATTTCTCTGTGTATTTTTCAGGTAGTTACGTCACTACTATAACGGAGTACTATTCCAGGAAACTCGTGAATATTCGTGATGCCATTCTATTTATTCATGAAATTTACAACAGGTAGCTTCCAAGTTCCAAGTTAGCAAAATATTTTTTGAGTTTATCACAATTTCAAATAACTCGTTAGTCCTAAATTTATATATATCTGCAGGCATATAGGCATGCATGTGATGACATTCTAGGGAATTTACAGGTATTAGACTAGTAGCTTTTAGTTAAGGTGGCAGTAGTTGGTGATCAATTTGAGAACTGCTGACACTTATTTTTGTTACAAGAATGTAGTGCACTATACTACATCCCATTTATTTATTTACTATCAATTAATTTATTAACTGCAGGTGGTCCACCATCTATTACATGGCAAAGAGCTCTCATGGAGTTTGCCAAATTTTGAAAACGACAGTCACATTAATGTCACATTAATCTCATACTCCTAAATTAATACTACTTCTTTGAAAGACCTTTTCCCATTTACGTACACGACAATGACACAGAAACGTGCAAACATTTTTGAAATATCCCTCGTGAAATGGATTCACTCCCTCTTTGAAGATCTTGCGATACGAGATTCTCGAGTGAGCCATGTGCTCCCATGTTGTTCGACCGATCACAATCAAGTACGAATGACAACCAAATAACAAGCCAACGACAATCACGGATATGACTAGTATCACCATAACAAGGAATAATATGCCATTTGTATATGCCCATTCCGACCACACCTTTTTACTCGCTCGGGCACTGCCCGGTTTCGACAGTCACAAAATAGAGTATCAATGAGCTGCCCAATTTTTACCCAAATTATCCATAATACTCCTGCCAATATTTACCCAAATTATCCATAAATAACCCTAAATTTTGAGGAAAATTCAAGAATTGTGCTAGTTAGAAGTATGCACAGAATAAAGATCTGGGCCATCTGGCCATGTATTCTGTGGTATGGATTTGACTATTGCTTTTTGAATGTTTTTGTACAGCATGCATTTAACGATTAATGCAAGTAAATCTTGTTATGGTCAAAAGAATATCTTATAGCCCGACAAAGACAGAAATGCAAAGACAGCGATCATCATTACTTGTGTGGAAGTTCGTCTTCTGGACGTCAAGCATGATATTTTATGTGGTGTCACTGGTGTGTGGAGTAGAATACAATGCGACCATACAGGTAAAAGAGTTGGAAGATTTATGTGAATATATATCCTGAATTCGCCTAGGGCTGAGGCCTGAGAGAGGAAAATGTTTGCATATAATTTTGCTATGAAACTCATGGAGTCATGGTGTGATGGTGACAAATTTAAAATATATTAAAGGCCGGATGTAAGTGTATAGTCAGGGACGCCGGAACGATGCAGGTTTTCGTGAAAGGGCACTTTTGAATTGATCTTGAACTTTGCCTAATCATGTTTTCTATTTATTGGATGATAGGGGTGTGAGGGGGTTCTCCGCCAGGCGATTGTGCTATTCTTGAAGCTCGATGACTGCATTTCTTGCGTTTTCTGAAGCAAATTTGAAAAAGAATTGCACTAACATTTCTGACAATTCGCTATTTCGCCAAGGCAATCCTTTAAATTGAAAGGGCACCTTTGCCCCCTTGCCCCTCCTGGTAAAGGGCAACAGGGGCAGCTGCCCCTCCTGTCCCCCCAGTTTTGGCATCCCTGAGTGTAGTTGAAATTAAACCCTGAGTTTTAAATATAAAAATAGTTTCAAACTATCTTTCAAAGGACGTACTATAGATTTTCTACTTTAGTTATTGAAATGCTTATGTGGCTAATAAAATAAGGCCACATATATTATGCACCTATCATCGGCCACCTCTGGGGGACTGTGACAAATCCCTCTATTTTCCTGGAGAGTCATCCCAACTGTCATTCTGTCTCTTTTCATTTGCATATGTTCAATTTTCAAAAAGTACAGGTCAGTAAATATTTAAACGAGTACAATTTCACGTTAAAGTATCTAGATTAATATTTGTTTGCTTTGCGGAAAACAGCATGCATATTTATTACAAAGACTTAATTTCTCATGACAATGTAAAATTTAGGTATTTTTTATCCATATGGGATAAATGTTCCCAAATTCTCTACTTCTGCTTCCCTCCAAAAGGTGCTGGAGCAGTATCCCCCAATTTGAAAGTTAAAGGCCATTTTCCACTTTAACGCTATCATATCGAAGCATATAGCGTATATTTCTTTGTTCCCTGAGTATTACAGTGGAAATAATGACTTTGAAACAAAAGAAAATGATACGATGCGATACGGTTGAAGTGGACAACAGCTTTAAAGATGCATGCAAACGTTCACCAATCAAGAGTAGAGCTGAAAGAAAATCCGAAAATAGCGAATCTCATAACTATATGTTTTGAATTTAAATAAATAGAATAGAATAGAATATAGAATAGAATTTTATTTGCACTCGAGAAAAAAAATGACAAGATTATTACAATAAAGTTTTACATGAAAGAGAACGGTGCTGGGGAATTGGAGTAACTAAAGTTTTTGAGCCAATTCCCCATAAGAGCTATATACAACAATGAATTAAATATGGCAAATAATAATACAAAAGAAAAATAAATTTAGAAATATATATACTAGAAATATAATAAACACATATATACACACATACTGTACATTAACAATTTGTATCACACACAATAGGTTTGATTTGATTATAGTAAGTAAACATTTGATATTAGGAATAGGTATCAAAGCAATTCTTTTTAATTCTTTTTATTAGAGATTTCCTAGGTAGTAATTTGTCTTGATTATCAAGAGAACTCCAGATTTTTATTCCAAAAAATTTTAATGAGAATTTTCCTGAGTTACTAGAAACAGATGGCAAATGAAAGTTATGGGTTGAATATCGAGTATAATGTTGATGTATTTCTGAAGAGTGTGTGAAATAATTAGAAAATGCTACTGGTAACCTATTATTAAAGTAATCGTACATAAAAGTACATTTTTGGGTGTAAACAATGTCTTTTACTTGAAGAATACCTAGTAATTTGTAGCTAAGTGGAGCATGGGATCAAGGTTCGGAAAAAGTCATGATCCTGACAGCTTTGTTGTTTAAAATGTTTAACTGATTAAGACGAGACTGATATTTATTATGTGATGTGGTTGGGGTACTGTATCTATAACAAGGGGATTCAGCTCACACAAACAAAAGACAGGCAAATATTAATCATCCAAATCGTTATCCTTTTATGGAGTGGTTTCTAACTTATATTCAATCCCGTACCCAGGGTCTTTCCTCTTGGGGGAGAAAAGACCCTGGTAGATACTGGTTATGTGTTCTCCTAAAATCCAATCCAAGATGAGGTTAATAAATATTTTGTATTTGGGTGATTTGTATAGTTTAATTTATAATTTGCATTTTGTATGATTGTCGTAAAGGAATCCAAGATAGTTTTTGTTGCATGCCATATATGGCATGCAACTTTCATATAGCTCTAAGGCTACGTTTACATTGTATCGGATCGGTTTTTGCTTCGTTCACGAAACGTTACGCCACGGCCCAAGTGTAAACAGCTTCCGTCCTCGCCCATCTAAATACAAAAATATTATAAGTGAGCAAGCTATACCCGCAAATAAGATTAGAATAGCAAGTCTTTGTTTCCCAGATGCCATCTTGAGTCACGTATTGAACCGAAAATTGCTCCGATTTGTGTTTACATTACAATGAGAGCGTTGCAAAAAGCGATCCGATACATCGCGCACCACTTCGAAGAGCGAACCGCCGCACCACCGGTCCGTTGCAGAAATTGAGACGATAACAACATTTCATATGTAAACAGAAGCCCTATCCGGTACAGTTTTTGCGTCGGACGCAAAGTGATCCGATACAATGTAAACATAGCCTAAATTTCGTGTCGTCGTGAGCGGTGATGAGCGGTGAGCGTACCGGTCACGTGGCAAATTCGTAAATTACAAGAATATTAATTACCGGGTTTTTCGGACGAGCATTTTCACCACTCATGGCTCATGCACGTTAACTTTTCGTCCAACAGCTTTCGTCGAGGAAAGGCAAAGAAAAATGTTTGATTGTTCGCGGAAAATTTACATATTTGAGCGCCTTATATCAAGGTAGGTAAAGCTTTGCTGATTTTAATTTACCTTATATTCTGTTTATATATTCTGTGAAGGCTACGCTATCAAAATACTCACTTTTTTATATATGCTCAAATTGAAACGGAGTCATTGTACTCACACTGATTATATTAATTGTGTGCAAAACTTAAATAACATGAAATATACTAAATACCATGAAATATATTTATAAAAATATCAAACAAAATTCTCATTAATACTATTGAAATTTAATACAACGAAATATAGCATTCTACGTACGTCGATAATTTCAATCATAGTTTAATAATTATTTTCAATCTACAGTACTTCACCGTTTCCACGTTTTTTATACTTTCAATAAAGCTACAATACAGCTAAATTTGTAGGAAATAACACTATTATTTAGTTATAAAATAGTATAAAAGGAAATCTAACAGTTAACTCCTTATGCATCAGTCAATTCTAGCATTGCCCATCCCCCCCCGGGCAACCCCCGGGCATTTGCACTTTTTTTTTCTTTAAGTTGACAATTCCCGGGGGTCGGGCAGAAAAAGCGTGGCAATGCCCCGTCCCCGGGCGAAAAAAAGATGACAAATGCCCGGCCCCAGGGCACACCGACTCATTTGTAGAATGTATTTTAGACCTCAAAACTGCCATAACAATACTATATTAGCTTCCTTGTATAAAAGCTACAGCAGTCGTCCCAACTTTTGAACATGAAAAACGTGCTCGTCGGTTCAGTTGTTAATATACAATCACGTAGCAAGATAAACAAGGATTGTACTATGAATTCTAGTGTTTTTATGCTAGATAGTTAACACAACATTAATTAGTTCCTCATGTGCGATTGGTGTGACGTTTTGTGAATGAAAATATCGACAAAATCCTCGTTTTTACCCCCAAATTCTTCGACGCCATTTTAATATAATTGCACGTGTTCGTCGCAGAAACGTCCGGTCGAGTCAAATGCCCGGCCGGTAAACAATTCCCCGCCCCCGGGACAACTTTGCATGTACCAATGCCCGGCCCCCGGGCAAAAAAAGAGTGCAAATGCCCGGGGGTTGCCCGGGGGGGGATGGGCAATGCTAGAATTGACTGATGCATTACACATTGTTTATAGTGTTCTGAATAAGCAGAGAAAACCCCGCAACATTTTAATGCGAGTTTGTTTGTTAATATTTGGGTGCTGTCATTGGTTCTTTTTTGACAATTGACGCGCGAATGGGGCGTGTTATGAAAAGGGGCGTATTTC